CCTAAAATTTGCACATAATATACAGTACCTGTACATACAAAACTGTCTATTGTAATATACCTGCACATACAATTTTCGATTTATATATTTTTATTCCTTATTTACTTGTTCTATTTTTTTTTTTTTTATTATCTGTGTTTTTTTGTTCTGTCACTGTCATTCTGTTGAACTGTGGAAGCTCCTGTCACGAAAACAAATTCCTCGTATGTGTAAACATACCTGGCAATAAAGCTCATTCTGATTCTGATTCTGAATTCTAAGTACTTTTGTGCAGCAGTATGCATAGCTACTCAGATCGCAATGTTAGCAAATTTATAGCATGCATAGCAAATTCAGATGCAAGGTTAGAAATAATATTATGTTAATATAACAGCGGCAGCAGAAAGTGCTTTAGTTGCATGACATTTTAATAACTCATGGAGGGTAAATTAACTCTTTAAAGTGCAATAGGCATTCATTACTTTGCTTATTCAACAGGGCTTACAGCAGGTTTCATGCAGCAGCAGTAGATTATGCTTCATAAATTCTGATTAAATATTGCAACAGCTCGCACAGTAAATTCCTACTACAACATTGTGAATATCATTAACAGCAACAGCATGTTCTTCAACTCAGTATTAAAATGTTAGTCAATATTATCATCAGTGCAGTAGCAGCAGCTTGCATAGCTATTCAGTCATCGAGATTTTTCTCAGCAGCAGCATGCACAGTATTTCTATGTTGCGAATTTTAATTTGGACACAATTAATATAAAAGCAGACAACTGCATTTAAATAAAGTCACTGTAGTGTCTTAAAGGGTTAGTTCACCCAAAAATGAAAATTGGCTCGTGTTTTACTCACCCTCGAAGTATCCTAGGTGTATATGACTTTCTTCTTTCAGACGAATCCAGTTGGAGTTATATTAAAAATTGTCCTGCTATTCCAAGCTCTATCATTGCAGTCAGCGGGTATGGCAGTTGAACAGTCCACAAGTCGTTAAATAAAGCGCGCGCATTCATAATAAAACGTGCTTCACATGGCTCCGGGGCGTGAATAAAGGCCTCCTCTAGCGAATCCATGTGTTTTTGTAAGAAAAATATCCATATTGCAAATGTAATAACTTTTCTATCACTTCCATCATCTGTCATACGCGGAAGTCGTGCCGGCGGATGGCACAGCACGTCGGCATTGCGAGATTAGTGCCGAACGCGGAGAGACAACAAAACAAAATGCCGGTCACGAATTAGAAGTACAAACTGAAGATTTGCAAAGAAAAATGTTGGAGGATTTCGATATAAGCCAAGAGGAGACTGGTTTTCCTTTGCTAAAGTAAGGAAGCTTTGCTTCCTTTGCTCCTTTAAACAAACTCGCGAGACTATCATATCTCACAGGTGCGCGCTGCGCATACGTCATACGCCTTCCGCCGGAACGCCTTTCACATATGACAGATACCGGAAGTGAGAGAAAAGTGTTTATTACATTTAAAATATGGATATTTTTCTTACAAAAACACATGGATTCGCTACAGGAGGCCTTTATTCACCGCTATTTATAGTCCTGGGCATATGACACCACAACTACAGGGTGTACAGTGATTTATTCTTTCGCCAAATATTTTGTTAGCTTATTAATAAGTTAAAGGTAAGTATTTCCATTGCAGTAACGTTGATGAATGTTAATGAAAAAAAAAAAAATTACAACTCTTGAATGACAAATTGAAAACTATTTGCTCAGGCCGCCCGAGCCTGAGTCAGGTGGTTGCTGGGGGTTACTTCATCTATCAGCCTACAGTGTGATTGCTGTTTGTTAATGGCACACATATTGCGCGTTTCTATCTAGGTAAGTTTGAGCTATTGGCTCAGACACACATAGTTATTTAGGTCATTAGTTAAATAAACCTAAGTGTACAGCACCCTGGTTCACATTGTTAAGCCACTAGTTAACTTATCTGGGCTCCATTAGCCCAGAAACACATTTAACTCAGGTCACTAGTTTAAGCTATCTGGTCAACCGATCAGGTACACACAGCAATAGTTAACTAGAGTTAAGCCATTCGGCAAAGCCAGCCCAGGCTCACATAGATAGCAAACCAACGTTCTCACGGCTCTCCGGAGCAGTTGCAGTACATATGTCTTGGCAATAGGTGCTGCTTGTTCTGGGGGGTTTTATCTTTTATATTTCTTCTGCCTAGGGATGATTTTAAGCATATAATTGTATAGCAGCAGCATACATATTTAGTTGTTTTGTTTTCTTCTTCCATGCTATTTGTGCAGCAGCAGTATGTCTTAAATACTCACGGTCATGATTGAAATATATATATATATATATATATATATATATATATTATAAAGAAAGTGCTGTTCACCTGGTGATGTCTTCTGATAGCTGGGCAGGATCAGGCGGGTAGAAATTCACATTGAATGTGAAATCGTAGTTGGTGCCTAAATAAAGGCAAACATGATTTAAAACAGGAACAACAGAAAATTAGACACTAAAGGCCTTTCCACACTGAGCGCGGAAAAGTGAAACGAATATCGGATGCGATGACGTGCTGGAATAAAACAACAGATTACTATGGATGCTTCCACATAGACCGCGAACATTCGCACACCGAAAATGCGAATGTTTTTTTTTTTCCTAAGCAGTCCGACGAATCTTTTCAGTTTCGCAAAGCGAAAACACGGGCCATCCAATAAGATTTGAGCATTACATAGCATGGCCAGAGCAACTGGTGTTACCCAAAAGGTCGACGAGGTGGCGCTAAATGCTCAGACGACTGTATTGAGCACGAGCGTAAAAACACAGAAGTAGAGGACTTTCAACCAACATACAAAGAATATGGATGTCAAGATGTTGTTGTCGTTGGTGTCTGAACATAGAGATATATTTATATTTATATTCATACAATATATTTTCTGTATATGTTTTTTGCAGCTCATGGTATTTTTATAACAATAAAGGATGTTTATGACAAATGACAAGCAGGTAGCGTTTAGTCCATTATAACATACAAAAAGTGCATGTCTGCCTATTATAGAAGCAAAATCCATTTTAGATCACAAGTTATTACAAGCACTCGATGATGGTTTAAAGGGGGGTTTGAGCAAAAACATGAATTACATACATTTTGAAATGCAGCTTGATGCTAATTGTACCTCTAATTATATTTTCTTGTAAGCATTATGGATAGTTTGTGTTTCTGATGAAGAACCAAAAGTTATTTATCTTAATTTAAAGGTGGGTTAAGCGATTTCTGGTAGCCAATTTTGACATTTGAAATCACCAAAACATACACACCCCTACTCCAAAAGGGTCTCGCCCCTATTTTGATAGCTCCGGCCCACACATACGTACGCAACCCAGACAACGATTAGTTCTGTGAAACAAAGCAAAACCAATGTCCGTGTCTACACCGGACGCGAGTGGCGCAGCGCGACAAAATACTATAGAACTCATAATAATCAGTCATGCTGTCTACACCATAGATATACAGTATATACATATCTATGGTCTACACTGGATGCAGCGCGGCACGACATGACAAATCCCCGACAAGAAAACTGCTGCTGCGTTCTCTTTATGACGTATTGACACAAATTTCAAATGATTTTCAACTTAAGCCTTCTTTTGTTCCGCAGACATTTTCCTCTTTTGTTTTTTATCCGCCATCTCTATCTTTCTTTCTAATGTCCGTCCTGTGCACTGAACACTCTCTCCTCCACATCATGAGTAGACACGCCCCTTACTGCTTATTGGCTACAAGTTTGTTTTGCTATTCGGCCCGAATCAGTTTTCTAAAGCGTTTTTGAAAAATCGCTTACCCCACCTTTAATGCTGTATAATGAGCAGTGGATGATGTAAAAGCCATATATGAGATACATAGGCTACATGAGGAAAAATGCATTGCTGGTCGGTGCCACCTATCGTGCAGGCGTGAATTAGCAGAAGGCGATTAATCGTTTCGTGCTCGGTGTAAAAGCAAAGTTTGTCAGTGATTCGCCTCGCTGTGAAACGGCCGTAACTTTATTTTATATGTCAAGGAGATGAACGGCGGTGATGTGACTCACCTTGTACTTGCCGTCTGATCTCCTTGGTGAAGTCCAGCCATGTCTAAAAGACAAATAAAGCTTTAACTAAAGGCCTGTTTACACTCTAAAGTCTGCCAATTTAAATGCCCAAGCTCTTTTGGGCAGATTCTGATTGGTTGTCAGTGTTTTTATCATTTATAAGTTGTGAAAATAAAAATTGTTGTGAAAGTGATTTCAGTTATATAATTCCTCTGTGTAGTTGTTATTGTTACAACTGTGGTGTAGATTTATAATTCTATTCTTATAGAATTACAGTAGAATGATTAATAAACTTAATTATTGTTATAAAATGGTGTTTTATAGCAATAGTAAAGAATATAGTTTAAATAATTGTTTAAATAATTTAAAAAGAAAACAACCTTTATTTCTATTTTGACTAGAATTCCACTCCAAAGCTAATCTAAACATGAAGAAAACATGCTGTCAAGAAAAAAAAACATGCCACCTACAGTTAATATTAAAAGAGTGAGTGAGTGCTAACAGACTGAGGCACCTTTATGGTTGTCGTCTCCCATATGGCCAGACCGTAATAGTCCTTCTCTAACAGGTTCAGGTGGTCACACACTTTAGCAAACAGCTCCTGGCCTTTGGCATGTTTCTGGAAACAAAGAAATGTAGTTAAAACACAGAAGCCCCTGTTTGGAACAGTACTATTTAAGTATTTTAGTCAGACAACAACTGTAATCCTTATATAGCAACTTGATAGCGACAAGCATTAAAGCATACAGTGACTTTTAGACTTACGAGATACAACTGTGTGTGATTTATTTTGTAGAACAAAAATTGAGACTCAAAGAAATTTCTGAGAGAACCCATGGGTTGAAATTCTCTTCAAAGTTTTAGGTCTATGAATTGAGCAGCTCTATTAGCAAGTGAAGTTATGTACAGTGTAGCATGCTACTATAATATTTTTTTTGTTGTTCCTTCAGTGTATACAGTATGGAAACCCATGAGATAAATTAGATTAGATTAGATTAGATCGATTATGAGATAAAAAGTCAAAATGACAAAAAGTAAAACTAACAAAAACAATTGATATGAAAAATAGTTGAAATGGTGACAAAGGTCATAATTATGTCAGAATCAAATCAAAATTATAAGAAAAATAGTCATAGTTATGACAGTAAGTCGAAATTATGACAAAATTATGACAATTTTACTTTTTTATCCCATAATTTCAAGTATTTATCTCATAATCATGATGTATGAGTATGGAATAAAAAGTGAAAATTATGAGATTCTAAGTCATAATAGAGAGGCAAGCCATAATTCATAAATCATAATTATGACATAAAAAGCTATTAAATTATTACGCAAGTTGTAATTATCAGTCAAGTCATAATCATGACAGTAAGTCAGAATTATGAGATAAAAAGTAAAAATGACAAAAAGTAAAAACTATAACAGCCAATTGACATAAAAAGTTTAAATGATGACATAAAAAGTCATAATTATTCTAGTAAATTGAATTTATAAGATAAAAAGACATAGTTTTGACAAAAAGTGAAAATTATGATATACAACAATGTCAGTACAACAATGTCAATATGACAACATTTTTTACTTTAATAATTTCGACTATTTATCTCATAATCATGACTCATGATCATGACATAAAAGAGTGAAAATTATGAGATACTATGTCATAACAATGTTTTTTTTTTCTTATGTGGCACAAATGTGCTTCCATAATAGAATGCATATTGTGCACAGTAAGCAAATTGTCTGTATGCATGGAATACCCAGATTCTATAGTACACAACAGAGCACATTGTGCTGGGTACTGTATCCCACAATGCAATGTGTATGACTTCACTTTCCAGGGTGAATGAACCAGAAGTTATTAGGGACATGATGTTTTTGATTAATTACTATTGTGCGACTGCCAAAGATTAAGACATTTTTACAAGATGATAACTAGTTCACATGCAAAGTAGCGAGGTCATGTGACAACAAAGTAGCACACTGCTGTTTGAAACGTGGAATTATGCAGACAGTTTCACCTACTATTTTTGAAGTATACAGTTCATGTTCTATAAAAATAGTTGCCTTATATTCCATTCTGAACATAGAGACTCTTGTGTGGAAATAGAATTGTTAGCTTAGCTCGCTACATGCTAACAGCAGAATTAGCTGTGAATGTAAAGCGAGACTTGCGGGTCAAGTTGCTGCTAATAAGGATGTTCTGTTTCACTTAGGATGCTGTCTCTGTAGATAGCAGACATCGAGTCTGCTCAGTCGGTTTTAGACAAGAGCCACACAGTACGATGGCAACAAAAACAGGCTAAAGTGTCAGATCAGCAGAAATAGTCTCTCGGTAGTCTGAGAGTTAATTAGCAAAGGAAGTAAAAGCCCTTGAGCAACGCTTGAGTTTCAGAGTCACTCTCGCGGGACTAGACAACGATACGGCGCACTTGATAAGCAACAAAAGAGGTGTGTGTGTGTGTGTGTGTGTGTGTGTGTGTGTGTGTCTCTTACTTCCAGCTCACACTCGAACAGAGTATCATCCAGCAGCTTGACTTTGCAATGCAGGATCCCGGGGTGGCGAGATGCTTTCTGCTTCTTCCCCTCCTCCTCCTCCTCCTCCTCCTCCACCACATTCTCCTCCTGTTTCTCTTTCTCTTTTTCTCCTTCCTCCTTTACCTCCGTTTCTGCCGCACCTGCGTCTTCCAGCTTGGCCTCTTCCTCTACTATTTCTTTTTCCTTCTCACACTCCTTGTCTTTCTCTCCCTCCTCTCCTTTGGCCTTGTCCTCATTTTTCTTCTCTTTCTTCTCTTTTTTCTCCTTCTTCTCTTTCTTCTCTGCTTTCTCTTTTTTCTCTGGCTTCTCCTTCTCCTTGTCTGCTTTCTCCTTCTTCACCTTTTCCTTCTTCTCCTTCTTTTCCTTCTTCTCCTTCTTTTCCTTCTTTTCCTTCTTCTCCCCCTTCTCCCCCTTTTCTGCCTTGCCGGACTCCAGCTTGGCGTCTTCCTTCTGATCTGCTACGATTTGCTGGAGGAAGAAAAATATGTTAAAAATCCAAAATTTAGATTATTACACAATTAATTCGCTGGAGGAAGACTAATTTGTACCTTTTTAGAACCAAGGTTTCTTACAGAATTATTATTTTAGAGTTTTTGAAAGTAGGCCAACTTGATTGCCAATAACCAATAATTTCGTATGTGTAAAACATAAACTAAAAGCCTTTTTATTTTTTTTGCAGTCACTGATGATACTAGCAATGATTATAAAAAAATTTCACAAATGGTATCATCATGGTCTAAGCAGACCACCTAGTTCCTCAAGCTGCTACAAAGTAAAGCAAATCAACAACTCAGCACCCTGTTCCTTATGCATCATTTCTGTTTACCACCATACTGTATTCATTTTTTTCCCTGAGCTTGTCATAATGTATTCTGGGATTGCCAAGGTCACTTAGGACACAGCATACTTATACACTGTAAATTTCGGAAGATCCTTCAAACTGGTCTAATGAGAGTTCATAATTTGTACAGGATGGTGAAATGACAAAAAGAACCTCTAAAAATGTAACACTTTCATGCATATAGAATATGAAAATACCCATAGCAGATCTATACAGGTGGTGCTGGGGGAGGTGGAGGGTTTCTGAATCAAACTATTTAAATGTTAAGCAGCCTTAATTTTTTTAATTACAGTGGGCCCAATGCATACATGTTAATTCATACCCAGTGTGCTGCTTCCTCTTCCACGTCCAAATGTTTAAAACACATCATTGTTTATGCGTTTCTATCACCTTAATGCACATTTTGACTTACTTCAAAAAAACCTTCCTAAAGTTGGCACGAAATTAAAATTCACGCTATTTTATAAAATCCATGTTATGGATCTTTTTATGAACAATAAATTTATGCACGTTTCATTTTTTGTTTCATTTTTAATCAAAATGACATAATCGATAGACTTCTCTCTGGTGACGTATGCAGGACTTCTCTGATCATTTACTCCACTTAAACCCACCCCTGCAAGCTCATGTTCATCTGCCTCCACTTTTGAGTGCAACGTCCACATCTCACAACGCAATTAACAACCAATGCATATAGAATCAAGTCCCCGTCCTACATTTGTTCTTTTTTGGTACACATTTGTACATCGCAATATTCTAGAAAAGATCCGTTGCTACTTCTGTTTTATTGCAACCTTTTTTTTTTTCAAGGGGTCATCAGATGCCCATTTTCCACAAGTTGATATGATTCTTTAGGGTCTTAATGAAAAGTCTATAACATGCTTTGGTTAAAATTGCTCAATGGTAGTGTAAAACAACACCCTTTTAACCTGTCAAAAAACACTCTGTTTACAGCAAGCCGTTATGGTGCATTTCCCTTTAAATGCTAATGAGCTCTGCTCACCCCGCCCCTCTCTTCTGTGGAGTGATGTGCTGTTCTCTGAGAGACTGTAAACTTTAGACGCATTGATCGTGAAACTTGCTAACTAGCACATTATTAGGAAAGGTGATTTGCAAAATTCATTTAAAAAAATATACTCACTTCTTCTGTAGGTGAAGCATTTAGACACATTTAGGTACTTAGATCGGAGGATGTATTCCCTTCAAAAACAAAGCAGGTCACTCAGGGCGGGTCTAAGGTAAAACGCTAGTGTCAATCAACAATCGTGGTAGGGGCCTTGGCCTGTGTGACATCACACAGCCATGAATCTGAGAACTGCTTGATTTTAGAAAGGGGTCATGATTTATCAAGATTAAAAAAAAAAAAAAAAACACTGGGTGGATTTTTATCATTATAGGGTGGTTGTGTACACACACTTACAACACACATTTCAGTTCAAACAAAATGTAAAAGTCAATTTTGCATCCGATGACCCCTTTAACATTTGCAAAAATAGTTGGATATAAACTGAGCATGTGACACCTTAAAGGGATAGTTCACCGAAAAATGAAATTTCTGTCATCATTTACTCACCCTCAAGGTGTAGCCCAGGGCTGTCCAAACTCGGTCCTGGAGGGCCGGTGTCCTGCAGAGTTTAGCTCCAACTTGCCTCAACACACCTTACTGGAAGTTTCTATGCCTAGTAAGAGCTTGATTAGCTGGTTCAGGTGTGTTTAATTAGGGTTGGAGCTAAACTCTGCAGGACACCGGCCCTCCAGGACCGAGTTTGGACAGCCCTGGTGTAGCCATTGACTTCTATAGTATAGAAAAAAAAATACTATTGACCACCAGCAACTGTTTACAAACATTTGTATTCTTTTGTGTTCAACAGAAAATGGAATTCATACAGGTTTGGAACAACATGAGGCTGGGTAAATTATGACAGAATTTTCATTTTTGGATGATCTATCCCTTCAAAATGCTTCATATTCAAGAGAAAAGAGAGCAGACTAAATAATGAAAAGCTAGCATAAGGGAAAAAAAAGCTGAAGCATTTTGACAGCAGTCAGCAATGCCTAAAATACCAGCCGTTCAGTATGAACAGCCTCTCAGAAAGCTTTTAGTATACTGTGCTGCTGGAGCAGGTGAGAGCTGCACAGAGAAGGTTTTAACACGCAATCTTTGACCGTAACTCAACGTGTGAATCTGAGATGTGTGAAGCTCCACAGTTCAGTTGCTTTTGCACAGACATCCCTTTCTACAAGCAAACAGTGAGAACATCCAGTTGTCACCCTGAGGTCAAAACTGTCAGTAAGCCCACACACCAGTGGGCTGAGGGTTGCTCTGACTTTTAAAAGTCTTAGAGATGCTTTACTGTTTTGCTTCAGAAGACTTAGAATTTAGAAGTGTGGAACACTTTTGTCCAAAATGGTGACGTTTAATTAGCACTTCTCTAATGGCACATCGTTTCATTTAATGCAAACAAAATGGATAAACTACAACAGGCTAACATGTCAGCTGTGGTGATGCTAGGGCTGATTTAACAATATAAATTTCTCGATTTTAATGGATCTTCATTTTGATAAACAGAGATCTTTCAGTCTATGCTATTTTCAGTTGATGCCTGAACAAAACACCACTAAACATTATTTGATATGAATGAACATTAGAAGGTATTGTGAGTTATGTAATCACTCAATCAGTGTTTCAACTGCAAAATGTCAATAAAACAGCTTGAAAACAACACTTAACATTACATTCACCTCAGGAAAGCTTTCCACAAAAAATTGGATTTCCACAAAAGCATTAGTCAGCTGGAAAAATATCTCTAGAGAGGAGCATTTTGCTAAATATATGCACAATAGACCAATTCAATGCAGTGATGTCATTGACCCATGAACATTTCCTGCTTGTTGTCAAACTGCTTCAAAAGGATAACAGGAGGCGATTAAGTAACATCTAACCTTAAAACGGTTGTCATAACATGTTTTTATCAAAATGTTTCCAATATTTTTTTGGATGCTCAGAAGTTATGTTAAAATAAAACTGGGAATGCGTTAGGACTGTTGTGTTAGATAGTTATTGTTTGCATCCCTAAAAATGGTCTATATTACATTTAGATTACATTTTTTACCGCCGTCTTTAAGTTTTTATGACAGCCACCGTTTAAATGCTTATATTTTGAACAAATTAGAGTAGAAACATTATCATTAAAAAAAGTTAATAGAAAAAAATAATAGAAACAATGCCTTATGTGCAACTCAGATTTGAGTGTTGATTTTAAATAAATATGATTAATTACATGATTATGAAATCATTTTTGGTTTTAATTTTCAGCTAAATGTTTAAATGCTTATATTTTGAACAAATTAGAGTAGAAACATTATCATTAAAAAAAGTTAATAGAAAAAAATAATAGAAACAATGCCTTATGTGCAACTCAGATTTGAGTGTTGATTTTTAAATAAATATGATTAATTACATGATTATGAAATCATTTTTGGTTTTCATTTTCAGCTAAATGAAAACTTTAATTTTAGTTCCAGTAAAAAATTAATTTCAGTGCATCACTACTTTTATGGTGCTTTTTGTCCTTTGAATCTTAAATCTGGTTCTAGCTTTAGTACCATTAATCTGTTCCTCTTTCTCACCTGGTTTTCAGCACTGCTGATTGAGTGCTGGTCTACAGCAACATCGCCCTCTATGCGCAGTTCTGGCTCGGGGTCCGCTATGGGAGCTTTGGGCTCTTCCTGGCCGTCCTTGTCCCGGGCTCTCTCCGTCTCCACCCCCTCACCGTCCGAGCACTGCGAGCGGCGCTTCAGGAAGGAGGAGAAGAGGCGGGAGAGGCCGCGGCCAGCAGAGGTGCGCTGGCGCGGCTTCAGCTCCTGTTCCTCCTCCGAGCCCCCGGGGGGCAGCGAGGTGCCGGAGGGGCTGTCCTGAACGGTGTCAGCGGGGCCTGGCTCCTGTGCAGCCAGGTTCTCCTCTTCCTGCTGCTGCTCGCACACCTGTTTCTTATGAACGCTCTCCGCCTCGTCTGTGGTCATGGCAGTCGCTGCAGGAAGAGACGATTCGGTTAAAGTCACTTATCTATTTTACAGCACTGTTGAAAGTAGTATTATAAAAGTGTCCGGATGGTATACTATTTCCAGTGGATTTTCAAAGTATGTCTCTGTTAATACGCACTTGAAAATGTGCACATGCAATAGGAAGTAAGTGTGTAATACTGTCTCAGGTCAGGTCACAAAAAAACAAAGCTCAGTGCCCTTAACCCACACTAAATCCACACTATCTCTGAGATCACTTCGTTTTTGAGGTTAAGTGCATCCCATCATTCATCAGATTAAAAAACTCATGTGGCCACAAGTCACGAGAATTCAAGGAAAACTTTCAGATAGTAGATAAGTGGATATTTGGTAGCAAATCATGAGAATTTGAGGAAAACTATACTAACTATTAGGGGTGTGTGATATATATCATCTGCGATAATATCATAATTGTTGTTTTAACAATATATGATTTGACATTATCGAGTATATCGAAAAAAACAAAAAACAAATAAAACACCTACAGAATGCATGCATACATTATTAAAATCTAGTAGGTTAGACTAGTGTGCGTGTGCATTTAGAGTGTGTTCTTTCACTGCATGATTCAGTCTAATAAAATGTATTTAATATGATTTCAAAATTCAAGATATGGAAGCAGAAAATTTATATATTTATATAATTTCATATAGTTAATCAATATCACACACAGAGTGCCATTTTTCTCTCCAAAAATCTGCATGATTACAAATGTGAAATTGATTTTATACAACAGTTCAATAAACAAAAAGTTCATATTAAGAGACTTATGTTTCAGACACCACATCGCCTATTTTTGCTCTATTTCGCCAACAAAAATTCCAAACACCGAATGAATCAACCGTTTAAATGATTCGGTTCAATCGCAACGACTCACTTATTAACAGTGACTTGCTGCCACCTACTGGCGGTTTTAATTTCACATTTAAAATATCTTTTCATTTTTTAAATAATTTCAAATATCAGTGTTCAACTTTTTATGTTTAAAATACCAAAACCTTATTTATGCATTTGTAACTGCAGGTTAAATGCATTCATGTCCTGCATTAAACAGTGTGTAAATACATCTAAATGCCAATTCAGATGCAGCTTCTGTGTTTCCTCTGCAATGCAAAGATTAATTTTGTTGATACTGATTTAATTTGCTTGGTAACAGCCTAAACGTCTTATTATTCTAATTGACTGATTAAATGTAAGAATTTGACTCAAAAGATGAAGCACACTTTTATAAAAAAAAATGGCTTTATAAAGGTAAAAATGCCCATAAAAGGTAAAAATAAATTTAAACTTATTGAAAAAGATTAATTTCTATCACTGCTGTGAACCGACCACCACACAGAATATGAAGAATATCAAAAACTTGGAGTCAGCTGTCCACAGTAGTCCTTAAGATGCCAGCACAATAACACACTCAGCAAAATTAGTCTAATTATCGGTATCGATAAAATCCCAGAAAATATCGAGATATCTTTTTTTTTTTTTTTCAATATCACACACCCCTACTAACCAGAGTTGGATATAACGCGTTACATGCACGCGTTGGTTTCCTACGGATTATTGTATCAGAGAATATTTGTTTTCGACGACCTACTTAATTTAAAAATAGACACTTCAAGTCTCAAGACACTTTAGATCTTTAGAGAAGCTTTCGGAGACTGAGAATGCAGAAAGCTCACCCTATTGGTTTTCTTTATTTTACAAAACCAAAAAAGAAAAAAGTTTTGTTGATATTGCAAGTATATACAAATAATACTTGTGTAATTTTTCAGTCAATATTAAACTAATGAAAAAAACTACAAGTTTCACTTTGTAGTGTATTTTTTTTAGGTTTGATCATTTGAAAAGTAAACTTGAAAGTAACTTGAAAGTAAAATAATTAGTAATCTGATTACTTTTTAAATGCAGTAATCAGTAATGTAATCAAATTACAATTTTAAAGAAGTAATTAGTCATTTGTAGATGATTTCTTTTTTTGAGTATCTTACCCAACACTGCTACTAACTATACTAACTAAACTATACTAAAACTATGGAACTATACATAAGATATTAATTTACATTATACATATAATTACATATATTAATTTGAGAGCAAAACATAAGAATTTGAGGAATATTTCAAAATGTGAGTTAAACTATTACAAACTACATATAATTTGGTAGCAAAATGCGAGAATTCAAAGAATATTTCACATTGTAAATTAAACTGTTAGATATTACATACAATTTGGTAGTAACATGTGAGAATTTGAGGAAAGCTGTATTAGCGTAAGTTACATTAATTAGTTGTTACATATAATTTAGGAGCAAAACATGAGAACCTGAGGAAAACTTTACAGTCGAAGTAAAATTAATTATATAATTTGATAAAAAAAAAAAAGAATTCGAGGAAAACTCTTAATTAAAATAATTTCATTTAATTTGGTAGCAAAACAAGAATGAGGAAATTGCATACATGAGAATTCGAAAACTTTACAATGTAGATTAAAGGAGTCGTGTCCTCTTTTGGAAGACCAAACAAAGTAGTTTAGCTTTCACAACGAAACACACAGCGTCACACACGGTGGGCTTGAGTGAGTGGAGACCTGCGGCTAGAGTGAGCGGAGGCCGGAGGCCTAGAGTGAGCAGCGGCGGGCTAGATTGAGCGGCGGGCGGGCTTGAGAACGGCGCGGCCGGCGGATTCGACAAAGGAGCGGCCGGTAGGCTTGCGGCAACCACATGTGACGACCCTGGGCTGGACTCCGCTTCGTCCCACA